TTAAATATAGGCTATTTTTTCATAAGGAGAAGTCAGCAACTACAACAGTATGTAAAGCTACGGAAAAGATTAAATGTATTTTTACAAGAATATAAGGCAAAAGGTATAATTAAAAAGTTTGATATTGGGAGAAAAAAATATACTTAGGAATTTAAATAGTTGAAAATTATATTTAGTTAGCTTAATATTTTTGATATACAGTATATATATATTTCTTTAAATAAAGTATCATATCTATTTAAATGGTTATTTTATATTGAACTAATAAGATAGTTATAGATGAATAAAATATTGACCCATGGTAAAACTTTATATTATCAAGAATTGAATGCTAAACATACTAAACGTTTGCAAGTTAAGATTATGGGAACCTCGTTGAAGTGGATATTCTTCTTCCATAATATTATCCGAAGAAGAACACCCTCGGTACTTTTGGGAAAATGTGACCGTCAGTGAAAAATTATTCACGTGATTTCCCTTACCCGAAGTAAATGAAATTTTTTCAGCCTTCTGGTTCTTAGAAATAAATCTTACAACCAATTATATATACGTTCGAATTTATTTAAAATAAATAAATAATTATGAATTATCGTTCAGCCCAATAAGATCATGCAGATTTTCATAGACCGACATTTTTATTAGGACATAACAATAACAACACGATTGATATAATAAAGTGGAGTAAAAAAATATGGTGTAAATGAATATTTTTTAAGAAAGTTTAAATAAAGCTTATAAAGTGGATTAAAAATAGAATTTATGGAAAGTTAAATAAAACAAGTTAGCTCATGGTACGTATAAAGTTTTGCTAAGAAATTTGGCCGATGGGTTGTCAGTGAAATCTTCAGGTTATGAAACTGTTTCCTCGGGAAATGATTCTTCACGTTAAATTACTTACTGTCTTAACCTGGTTGTTGCACTACAGAGTTTGATGTACCTAGGACCGATCAAGACCTTCGTGAAATGCTTCGGCTGTTCGTGTCAAAAAGCAGCTTCAAAGATTACTGTACTCATTGAGACTCCCTCGAAGCCCTTCAACGAAGTGATGATCTGAACCCTAACATTAACGTGTATCCCGTTTTGTGGATGTGTCGACACAAAGAATGAGGAATATAAAGAAGCGTTGCGTAAATTTGGAGACTCGAGTTGCAACAACTCCTATCGACGTATCCCATGAGGCCACCAAAAGTATCTACTCGTATACTTATCTCGTCTCTGCAACTTACCCGTTCAAGGATCAAGTCAAGTTACAAGAGAAGCTGATTGAGGGAAAAAATGGGTGTGGGAATCTTGACTATGGTATTGAATCATGTACGACCGGGAGAATTATCGGTCTAATTGAGGTCAAAAAAGATGACTTTAAGCAGGGTTTCGCAGAAGCTATCGTACAATTGGATTCATCACTAGGTCGTAAGCGCAAAGCAAATGAAATGGATGATGGACATGGGTTTGACAAAGTATGGGGGATCGTAACAGATGCGGAGAAATGGTACTTTCATGGAATGTACGCAAGACGCTGAAGGGAAACTATCGTTTAAATTGTCGAAGCCGCCTCTTTTTGCGCGGGTATGAAAGACATGGTTGAGAAGGTCCTTGGTCATATTATCTGGTTATTGGAAGAACCACAAAAGGCGGATTCAGCTGTTAATTTAGAGGAATAAAAAGTGTAGATCATTGGGCAGTCTTGCGGAAAAGTCGGATACTGTAGTTAAGTCTTAGCATAGCGTGGGTCAGTCGTTAAATCATGCATCATGAGAAAAGTCCCGAGCTTTTGAATTCAGACGATTTTATGTTTTATATTTAATAATTATCGTAAAATTATTTATTCAACTAAAAATATCGAAAATAAAAATATTAAATACTTATTATTCTTATAGAGTTTAAAATTTGTTCTTAAGAACTTTTTGTTTTTTATATTATTTATCTTATAAAACCGTATATTGTAAGTATATTTAATTTTCAAATATATATACGGTGAATCATATCATTGTCATAAAAATATTTCTATAAGTGATAAGTGATACAAAAAAAATGATAGTGCACAATATATTTCAACATATTTCAATTTATTTCAGTAATTTCACTTTTAAACGCGTATATGTTACTTTCGCAGTCAATGAATATAAAATATATAAAATAGGACCAAACGTGTTTTTTTGTAACACCTACTATACATGTATCATTCAACATGTTTCAATTGTTTCATCTTTTAAACGCGTATATGTCAAATGCGTCAAAATGATGAAAGTTGAGTCATTTTGCTTAACAAAATAACTCTGTACATGTATCATGCATAATATATTCAACATGTTTCAATTGTTTCATCTTTTAAACGCGTATATGTCAAATGCGTCAAAATGATGAAAGTTGAGTCATTTGCTTAACAAAATAACTGAATTAAAATGAATCACCTTTAAGCTATATGTCTAATTTCTAATGACATGATTTTAATCAATAATTATATTAATTATACTATACCATATTTGGCAAAATGATTAAGTTCTTGTTAATACGATAAATAATAGATTTAATTATTATAATTGTAGTGTTAATTTTTTTCACTTTGATAAATCAATATGTCAGTCTGAGTCATACTATCTACAAAGGATTTTTTTTATTTAAGACATTAAACTCTCATCAATTTCTCTTTTTTTATTAAATTATTAAACTCTGAATTATCTTTATCAATTTTTTTTATTAAATTATTAAACTCTGAATTATCTTTATCAATTTCAAACATGACCACATCTGAAGATTTCATTGGTCAAAATGGTAAATCTTGTGAACTGCATTTTAACTTGTAGATTGTAGTATTAATAATTAACCCAATTCTTTCAATCTTTTTAGCTCTTATCTCTTATTTATCAGATAACAATAGGACAACAAAATCATATTGGAGGTTCTTAACAAATCACCGTGATATTATTATTGCTTCAATTGATACTACTTCAAATTTAGATAATTGGAAAAATCTTGATAATCTTTGGGCTGTTCGTTTTTTGAGAGAAAAAAAAGATTTCCTTAAAAAAGATTTTCCTGATTTAAAAGATAAGGTGTGTTTTTTTTTTATTTTGCAAAGTTAGGGTAACCCCTAGAGTTAATCAGAACTTAACTTAGGGAATTTACTGGATTTGACAAGTCGTGGTAACCACTCCAAGCTTCTCGGTTCAGGTGTCCTAACTTTGTAGTTGATATAAGTCTGCTAATTCTGGAGAAGGAATTGGCTATGTACCTTTTTATATTACTAAATAAATTTTAACACACTACTAATAAACTGTTTCTAATAATAGGTAATTGCAGAACGATTTCGATATGCAAAAACATTAAAAATATTTTGCCAAGAAATTATTAAAGAATATAAAAAAAATCAAGTATTTATTGAAGAAAATAATGAAAAAGAAAACATAGTGCTTGCTGATTTTGCTGATTCATCTTGTTCACACATTTCTAATTCATCCCATTCAAAAAAGAATGTTGAAAAATATAATAAAAAAGAAAAACATAGTATCTGCTAATTCTTCTTATTCACAACAAATTATTGAAAATACTGATTATGATTACTTTATTCCTATTAAAAATCAATCTATTTCTAATTCATCTCATTCAAAAAAAAATCAAAATTCCTATTAAAATTCATTCTATTTCTACTGAAAATAATTCTAAAAATTCTCAACTTATTGACTTTTGTTATGATATTTTTCAAGAACTTGATATTAAATCTAATATTCATCCATTTTATGAAATTTCAAATGAGAATATAAAAAATTCAATGGATTTATTTACAATAATTTCAAAATTAGAAAATAATCAATATACAAGTATTGAAGGATTTGAAAAAGATATTCGTCTTATATTTCGCAATTGTTATATATATAATGATATAGGAAGTGAAATGCATATTTTAGGAGAAGAATTGGAATCAACTTTTAATAAGATTTGGACTGAAAAAATTGATTTTCAAGTTAAACAAAAAGGAAATTTAAAAAGAACAAGAAATAATGATACTGATTCATCTTCTGGTAAATTATAATATTTTTATTATTTTTTTTTTAAAATTAAAATAATTAATAAAATTTAAAAATAATTATTAGAACTTATAACAAAACAAATTCGAATTTTAGAACAAAATAAAGATAAATTAGTATATAGACAAGTTGTGAATGATGCTCTTCTTATCACTTCAGCATATGAAAATCTTATTGCAAATAATATTTTACCTTTTATTGAACTTTTAAAAACATTTTTATTAACAAGATCACAAATATCATTATCTTCTGCAAATGAACCTGTTCTTCAGGCAATTGTTGAAAATCTTTTACCATTAAAATATCGTATTCCTGAATTATCATTAGTAATGGATGGTACAAAATTAAAAGGATTTGGACAATTTGGATATTCAGATATTTTTATCTTAAAAGGAATAGGAAATAATAATATTAGTTTAGAATTAAAATATATTTCATTAGTTGGATTAATTAAAAAAAAGAAGTTTAATACAAATGATTTAGAAAATTTAGATAAAATTATTGAAAAAGAAGATGAAAAAATTCTCTTAAAAAGATCATATGAATATTGGTCAAAAGAACATAATGAAACTAAAAAAGTAACTATAGAAGAAGTATTAAATAATGGAATTAAACAATTGAAATCATATATGAATATTATTTCAAAAGGAAAACCAAATGATTATTATAGTTCAGGAATATTTGATAAAAGAATTAAAATAACTAAATCAAATCCTAATAATAAATTAAAAGGATTTGTTATATTAGTAATTGGATTTTGACGTATTTTATGGAAATCTGTTGAAGAAATAACATATAATTATTCATATGAAAAAATTTAAATATTTTTATAATTAAATTGAAAAATTTATCCATAACCCCATTACATCATATAGAATCTAATACACATTTTGATTGGACAAAAATACAGTAAAACTTTTATTTTTAGTGTATTACTGATCAATTTACAAATACTTAAAATGTTTTATTTTAATGCTTTAAAAAAAATAAAAGACATTTTATTTAGCAATTAAAGAATCAAAAAATATATATCTGTTGTATTATAATGATTACACTAATTTTACATGTTCTGGCATTATGACCATTTTATTACATTTTCCACATATGTAGTATTTTCACTATTTTCTTATTAAATCTCTTATTTATTTTGGTGGCTGATTTTAATAGCAGAAGGTTTTCCTTTGCAATATGTTCTAATATGAGCTTGTTGTTGTTCTTTAATTTATAATAACTCATCATGATAATCTGATAGAATTTTTTTAAGATCTCCAATTTCAATAGAGTGGCTGATGCTTTTGCTAGATCAATAATTGATGCATACTCATTCTTTTTTCATATCACTTTTGAGTGTAATTATCATGATGTTGTTGAGAAAATGAAGGTTTATCTTGATTAAATCTGATTACAAATTCTTCAGGTCCATCTGCTTCTACTACACCATTTCCAAGCATTATGTTGTCAGAGTTGATAAAACTTTGTTCATCATCTTAAAGATTTTCCTTATACCATCTTCTAGGGATTAACGAGATTAGAAATTTAGCATTATTACTATCCATCATCACTTTAAAATAATGTCTACATATCACCCACTATTAACAAGCTGTAAACATATACAAATATACCAGCCACTTTTTAAAAGGATTACATAATGATTTGCACTACTGCTTTTAGTTAATAAAAAACAGTACCCTCTAAAAGAACTTTTTTTAATGAAAAAACATCAAACCTGACATTTTTCATTAAAAGAAACAAAAAAAAAAGTGTAAATTTTTTGATCTTCATAATTATCTTCTACAAAATTGGTGTTTAAATTTTGTTCAAAGTCATCAATGTTGTTAGAATTTTCATTATCATTGTTGTTAGTAGAATTTCACTATCAGTATTGTTAGAGTTTTCATTATCATTGTCTTCTATGAAGCGCTCTATAGGAGTTGTATTTATTTTTACATGTACGGGCGGCCGGGCGCTGATCTGAACCTTTGTATTTATTTTTTATCCTCCAGTATATAATAAAAAAAACATTATGAGAACAGAGAACATATACACGAAAGCACACATGTTTAAAAAATAAAAAATCAAAGGAAAGCTTTTATTGTATTTTTGAGCTATGATAAAGGAGTCAGTTCGCTATATAAAATGAGGCAGGTAGTGGTGTCTCAAGGGCAACGCAAAAAATGATCTAAAAAAAAAAATACTTTCTATTAATTATGGCCCAATAAAAACTTCATGTACAGCGGATGGGTATTTGGGTACTCTTTATAAAATATTTACCTGGGTTAAACTCAATAACTATTACATGGTATCAAATACCAAAAGTAACCATGGTAAATACTGTTTAATCATTATAGAATTCCACAACAATCTATGTTTGAGCTGGGACTCACAGGTCAAAATGCTAAAAATCGGCAAAAAAAATGGCGTGAAAAGCAGTGGCTATTCTTGGCTATTCTTGGCTATTCTTGGCTATTCTTGGCTGTTTTTGGCTATTTGCGAATTAACCTATACTATTTGTAAATAGTTGATATAAATTTGCGAATAGTTTATGCAATTCTAGCCATTTTTTTTGCCTGTTTTTAGTCATTTGACATGTGACTGGGTGCTTGGAAATCAGGAATGCAACTATTGTTGCACAGGTCAAAAAGTGAAAAATCAGGAATCGGTCACCAATCAGGTAGCTGATTGGTGCCTGATTGGTGACTGATTGGTGACTGATTGATGCCTGATTTTTCACTTTTTGACCTGTGTTGAATACTATAATTTCATTGAATTTGACAAAAATAAAAAGATTTTATTTGAACGTCAATGGTTGTTTGATACCTTTATAATTTTATGATTTTTTTCGATATTATAATCATGCAGTATAATGTTTTTCATATTAACTAAATTCGATTTTTGTTTTAAAACCCAATTATTTTTAAGAGTGTGCATGGGAAGGTTAAAAGACAGAATATATTGAATTAAGAAAAGCAAATAAAAGTAACGATCATATGTTTCAATAAATATGTTGATTGTCGCATTTTTGAATTAAATTATAATAATTAAGACAACAATAATCTTACCTTCAATGTCAACCTCAAAACCATCACTTTTGACATTTATTTATTTTAGAGTGATACATGATGTTGTACCTTCATTCTGTCATCATGTTAAAATAAAAAAAATAAAAATTAATTGCGCAAAAAAATACTACATACATGTGGCAAAGCAAATTGTTTCACAACACGCTGGATTACAATGAATAGAGAAATAAATTAACAAACAGGAAGACACTATACCAAACCCAATGGAAAACTGAAAATAAACTAATTAGCAAGTAAGAAAATCACCTCCAAGAATTGAACTTGGACACAGAAATTGTGGAACCAACGGTGATGGATAATTGTTGAGTTAATAAGTTATTAAGGAAAGA